TTTTGCATAGAAGAACTGGGGTATAGGCCAGGGGTACAGTAGCAGGGGGTGAGAAGATTCATCAGAGATGAGATGGAGTGGGGTGTAGAACAAGTTGATTTGCTAAAATATAGTACTGAAGGAACAGCGGACGAGACAGTGAGGTCTGCTGTGCCATGTGGATTAGCTTTCCAGTTGAGGATTGAACTCAGGCTTTAGTGATGACAGTACTGAAACTTAACCTCAGGGCCACCAGGGAGGCCCTGCAGTACAGTATTATTACTTAGTCACCCATGCTATATATTATATCCCCTTGGCTTTATAACTGCTAGTTTATACCTTTCAACCCCCCCCTCCACCCATTTCATCATCCTGACTCTTAATCTGTTCTCTTTATCTTTTGCTTGACTGGTTTTTTTTATTTGGTTTAGATTCCACATAAGATGATACAGTATTTGTCTTACTCTGTCTGACTTATTTTACTTTGCATAATGCTCCAAAGGTCCATCTGTGTTATCTCAAATCTGTGTTATCTCTGACTTATTTTACTTTGCATAATGCTCCTAAGATCTATCGTGTTATCTCAAATGGCAAGATTTCATCCTGCTTTATACCTGAATAATATAGTCTACTGTGTGTACCACATTTTGTTTTCCATCCATCCATCAGTGACCACTTAGTTTGTTTCTATATCTCTACTACTGTGAATAGCTGTACTAATTATACTTATTTTAAAGTCTGTGTCTGATAAAATCTATATTTCCATATATTTGTTTTATTTCTTTTCCTTTTGGTTTGGTTCTTTTGCAGGCCTGAGTTTTTTTTTTTTTTTTTTTTTTTAAAAACAGGCAACCAACACTGTTCTACTTGCTAGATTATATCTGTCCAATTTATGAGCCTTTGAATAAAGCCAGTTAGATCTGAGTTTATTCTGATGAATTTAAAAAAGTCAAAGATATAATCATTTATTTAAAAATTATTCTAATAAGAGCTTTCATTTATTGTGATAAAAATACAGCTTACCACTTTAGCCATTATTCAGCCTATAGATGGAAGATGGTTCTTTATTAATTTGGCTGCTAATATGTACCTCTTAAAGGAAGAATTTAATGCATTTACGTGATAAAGCAGTATTTCTGTCATTTCACTATTCTCTTTATGTGTCTGATAGGGTTTCTTACCTTCAAGTATTTCGTTGGCTTTTTAAATGATGTACCATAATGATTTCTTCTTTCTTTTTCTGTATTTATTTTCTATCTCTGGCAGCAGCAAAGACAGAAAGGAGCAGAAGGCAGGGGAACCAGGAAATAAAGATTATAATCTTTTAGCTGGGTTCCAAGATAAGAGTGAAGATACAAGGTCAACCCAGCTGGTACAAATGATGTGTCCCCCATCAGAGGAGATGAAATGAACTTTTGATTGCTGTTTGTGTTGTGTTGTGTTTACTGCAGCAAGCTAGAGCAAAAATTGTCTTCTCATGTCCCAGTGAAGTTCTATTGTCTATCTCATGGATGTGTGGTAATTTCAGAGAAAGTTCCATCTGCTCCTGAGATTAAAACTAACTTTACTCTGCTATTGCATTTCAGGAGGTTGAGATAATGTCATGTTATTGTTCATCTTGTGTCTCTAGGACTTAGCATAGTATCTGGCTCATAGTGAGTATGTAGAAAATGTTTACAAAAAGGAATTGTTTTCCATTTTTCAACTTTCATATAGGGCATTATGAAAAGAGGAGTCAGTGATCTATCTATAAATATATCTGTTTTTCTTTTCTAGCTCAGACCATGACCGACTTCATACCTTGGTAACAGAAAACTGTTTTCCGGTAGGTTCCCATTCTCCTCAAAACTGTGGATACCTGAGTGGGCTGATTCTAGGTACCTCCCCTGGGTTTCTTGGGAGGGGTCAGTTTTGAAAGTATAGCAATTTAAAGTAAAAGCTAAAGTGCCCTTATGTGTAGCTAAGTGATGCCTTGGCATCAGGTCTACTCAGAGCCAGTACTGAATCCTGGGGCCCAGCTGTGGGCCATGCCAGACCAACCGTCCACATGCTGCACTGTGCTGAGGACTGGAAGGCTTTCACAGGTGTATGTTGTATGGTGACAGAGGTGCCAGGCATTTTAGAAAAGCCCCAAGAATAGGGACATTGTGGTTTCGTTACAGCTTCAAGAACAGGAACTAGATTTCCTATCAATTTAGCCTCATCTCCCCAGGGATAAGTATAGCTAACCTTGTCTTAGCAGTTTAGCCTTTATTTCTTTGCAGAATCCCACCTTTCACAGGCAAAAGGTAAAAGGGGGGCGAGAGAGGGGCATGAAGTCGGCAGCAATGTGCTTAGTAATTTGTAGGTTGTGACGTGTATGGGAGGATTGTGCTGGAGTGTCGGGTAAGCTGGCAGCATGGAGTGTAGTTTGCCTGATTTGGTGAAGGGTCCTCAGGAGGTCTTGAGTTGTGATTTAGTTGAAAAGATGAGTTGTGAGGTGAGCTTGAACAGTTGATTGTGAAAACTTGGGAAAGGGAGAGAAAAAAATAGGCATCAGAAAGCATCTGGTGGGGAATTGCATTATGAATAACAGTGCAGGAAGCTGGAGCATTAGCCTCCCTAGGGAGGGAAGACCCAGCTGAACTTGTTCTCTGTCCTCAGGACATGGTCTGGGACCTCAAATATAAGACTGTCCGCTGGAGCTTCGTCGAATCTCTAGAACCAGCCCATGTGGTTCAGGTTCGCTGTTCCCACCTGCTGAACCAGGGCAACATCTTCGGCCAGGTGACAGTCCGAATGCACACCCGGCAGGTAGGGGCACAGGCTGCTCTCCTCCCACCCCTCCTTCACTCTCAGGTGGGGCGCCTGCCGCTGGTACCCCAGGACTGTGGCTTCTAAGGAAAGGTTCGTCAGGGTCTCCTCACGCTGTCATTGTGCGCATCCTGCTGCTGGATGTTAGCTCTGCTGACACAGGCACAGGACATGCCCACTTGTTGCTCCCTCTTCCCCTCCCTAGTCATGCATCCTCTAGGAGTAAAGTGTTAGTTGGCTGATTGTAGTCTTGATACAGAATGCTGAGGTAATTTTTTTTTTTACCCATGGAAATGTTTTGTATGGTTATTTCAAATATGGTTGTGTGGCAAAAATTCAAAACCAAAACAGATGACTCTGAGGACTAACAGAACAGGTTTATTTTTGTTTTTTATAGACTCTGGCTATCTATGATCGGTTTGGCCGGTTGATGTATGGGCAAGAAGATGTGCCCAAGGATGTTCTGGAGTATGTTGTGTTTGAAAGGCACCTGACAAACCCCTATGGAAGCTGGAGAATGCATGGCAAGATTATTCCCTCATGGGCACCCCCTAAGCAGCCCATTATTAAGGTAAAACAGTTTAAATAATTTAAGAGCTTAAGAGTGTACTCCTGGCACCCAGAGCCACTTTTGTTTGGCGCCACCTAGTGGAGCGAGGGAGTGGTGCCGCATCAGAAAAGGAGTTTCCTATTGGGGTTGAGATGAGGGTGAATCTTTCCTGGGTCAGCCATGGGCCTGGATAGTAGATAACTCAGCTTCCTGCTTTTTCAGACGGTGATGATCCCTGGTCCCCAGCTGAAGCCGTGGGAAGATTATGAAGAGGCCCAAGGAGAGGCCCGTAAAGCTCAGCTTGCCTGATGGCAAAAAGGGCAACTGTGAATAAAGCATGGAAGCTGTGATGCTCTCCATCTTCATCATGCTGTAGAGAGAACTGCCTTTGTCTCTTCTTGGGTCTTTGGGTCTTTTCAGCAGTCTCATCCTGGCAACTGACCCCACGACTGATGCTGGGCCCGGGTGGGTGGCTGCTGTGCACAGGTGTGGACCCACTTGTTTTATTTTCATACATAGCTTGGGTCTAGGTGAAAGACAGCATGTTTCAGAGAACAGCTGACTCCTGCAGCAGGACATTCTGGAGCAAAACAACAGAATTTTCCTTCTAATCACAGGGTGTGGATCATAGAAATAAAACAGCATTGGGGTGTTGGACAGATTGTGGTGGTTTCTTGGTTCAGGCTGGATGTAGACCAGCCTTTAGATGCTGCAATGGAAGATAAACCTAATCATGAGTGTAACTTTCAGAAGGTCCAAATTTGGGGAAAATCATGTTTATAAAATACACTGTCAATAAAGAGAATCTTATGTACTGGCTCATGAAATGTGCATTTGTAAATCCAAAGAAATCATTGGCTTCCCAGCATTTAGATTGTGTTCTTAATTGTCAGCGGCATCCTGGTGTGATCCCAGGAAGCGGGAAAATGGGGGTCATGGAAGAGTTAATACATACGGAAAATCCATTTGTAAGACTTGGTTCCCTGATTCCTAGCACCTCTTGGCAAGTGGTGACTCCTCTTTTCAGTCCTGCACTGGCAAAACAGAGGTACTAGAACATAAACCTGTGCAGAGTGCAACAGTTGGCCCCCTTCCTTGTGCCTGAGCTCCAGCTGGACTGTTGAAGGTGGACACAGATTGCCTGTTTTGAGAGCAAATGACTGTACCAACTTGGCCTATGGTATGGTTGTGTTGAACCCGATGAGGGCTCCTCTTGAAAAGTTGAACTTTATTTCTCCTTCGTATTTTTAAGTGTTGAATTTT